AATCAATTATAAAGCACAATTATGAGAACAAGCCTTGTCAGTCCCTTTTAATTTTCTTCTCCAATGGCGCGACTGTTTTTATGGCAAGATACAGTGAAGCAAAAGACATGCAGTATTTTGATCTTCATGGAGCATTTAAGTTTTATATTTTGAATAACACAGGAGTGGCTAAAAATATAAAAAAATAGTATAAACATATATTAAATATACGTAATGCCTCTGAGTACGTATCTTTGTTCTAGATGTCATGGTGTCATAAAGTAAAGGGGGAAATGGTCCCTTGATGGTTCCACATTTTGACTTGAAAGCTGATTCGGGCTTCTCACTTCTTTTCCTCTTAAGAGCCAGCCAAAGGGGTGAGAGTTTAAAATCATTAGAATTTCCACTTGAAGGTGAGCTGAGAAAATACAGTAAAAGGAGTGGAAAATTAACCTAGCTCACCTTGAGAAAAGATGGTTATCATAATCGGTCAGTTAAAATGCGTGTTCGCCCCCATTCCGTGTGGATAATGGAAAGTGAGCTGTGGACTGTAGATGTCCGAGCACATTCCTGGTCAAAGGGGATGTTGGAGCCAAGACCTCCTCTACCTTGCTCACGATTTACAGGCAGCCATGAAGCCAGGAATTATGGGAAGATTTCTCCCAGAAAAAGAGGACGAGACAGTTCTTGAACATCTTTGTCCACATTTTCTCCAGGTAGTTTTCGCTCCGTCTGAGCGGGATGATGCTGACATGCTGAATTTCTTCAGGTGGCTTCATGCCGGTGACTTGCAGAGTGGGAGACACTGAAGGACACTAGTTATAAGGAATCCGAAGAGGGAGGAGTTGGTTCTGGTAAACGGACCGCCTTTATTTAGGAAGCGAGGAGAAAGAGTGTAACTGGAGATTACGGTCCAGTCCTCTTAATTTTAATCCTGAAAATGTTCAGAAAGCCGATTGCAAAAATCTCAAGTCTTGGTTTTGAAAAGGATCAAATTAGACCAACCCTAATTTTCTTCTACAATAGCGATTAATTACTGGAAGAACTTAGAAAGGGTATGAATTTTGGCATTTAAATTCTGAATAATACAAGTACTAGAAGGTTGTGAAGTATTTGGAACTTACTAATATTAGGTTGATTTACACCACACATGAAAAATGACTACCTAGGGGTTAGCACGAGTGAGGACACACCTCGGGTCTGCAATCCCTTGAAGCAATTCTGAAGTCCAAAAGAGGTCTGAAAACAGAAGGGTTTTTGTGAAGTACGTGGCAAACTTTTTGCCTGTAAAACTTGAACCACTGTAACACTGTTTTTCGTCTTTATCCTGCTTATTGTGAGAAGGCCTATGTTTCACTGCAGAAACACTAATGTGACTGATTACGGCGTGCTGCTCTGTCTCCCGCTGACGTGGTGTGATGGTCTATATGTGCTCTGTTTCCAAGTCCAAAAATTCTAAATCCTGTCTGAGATGCAGCTGGAACTCAAGGGTACGGATTCTACAATCCTTAATGTAGAAAAGTATTAAACATTTTCTCTTAGCTTTTTTTTTTAAATAAAAGATTACAAAGGAGCAAATGAAATTTATGAATTTCCAGAGGTAACTCGTATTGGTTTCCTTTTTATTTCGTAGAATTAAAAGATTTGGGAGCAAGGATCACCTGGTTTAACCTCTTCATTTCGCAGACAAGGTAGTTCAGATATAGGGAGGCCATGTGTTTTGCTGAATGTTCCGTCTCCTGAAACCAAGGGTATTCCAAACGGTTTTCTTGGTGACTTGGTATTGTAAGTTGCTGACTATAAATGGCCCTGTCCAACTGCAGAATTGAGCACCTGTAGCCTTTCAGTTTGGTCCTGCCTAACCACTGAGCTAATGAGAAAACAAAACAAAACAAAAAATGATTAGGTTTCCCTTTACCCTCAGTGGGTGGAGTAAGGACTTTGTTTAGTGGCCATCATGCCTGGAACCTGGAACCTGGGACCCAGGACCCAACTGGGTCACTACAGTTAGGGCTTGGGTTTCGGCATCTGCTTGGGGCACCTGCTAGGTTACAAGCCTGAGGCTGGGCGCATGGGGCCTTCACAACCTGCAGAGTGCTTGTCACCTCCCTGGAGCACTGATCTCTGAACTGGGTATATGTAAGAAAACCCACAAGGTTGCAGGGGAAACAAAGAATTCTGATTGTATCTACTTTTTATATAACAGACATGAAACAAAACTTTGCTGATACCTAGGAGCCTGGTGGACACAGGTCAGTGCCTTAGCTGGTCATGTGTCACTGATGGAAAATGAAAAAGAGTGGATGCTCCAAGGGGCTGACACAGTCCCTCCACACTCCCTCGCTCTCTGCACACCATGAAGTTGGTAGTTTACATGCAGTTTATGTGCATGGGGTTAAGTGGCCTTATGCATGTATTGCATTATCTTTTTTTAAAAAAACATTTTTTTGTGGGGGGAGGTAATTAGGTTTATTTTTCAGTGGAAGTACTGAGGATTGAACCCAGGACCTCATGCATGTTAAGCACGCACTCTACCACTGAGCTGTATCTCCCCCTACCCTATTGTATTATCTTAAATTGTGTGATCTTCACAAAAGTTTTGTAAAGAGATGGGGAATGACCCTGAACATATTTATACCACACATAGGTCCCTTGGTTATTTCATCACAGAGCGGTCCAAAGAATCTGTGAGTTTAAGGTTGAGCTCCTCAGTTCCTGGCCTTGGTGAAGTAGCTTTCTCAGCGGTGTGGGTAAGTTTCAGTCATGAAACAAGTACAGAAGGAAACAAATTTGATATCAGGCTTTGAGTAACTGTATCCCAGTGTTAAATCAAGGCTTTGTGAAATTGAAGGTGGGTATAGTTCAGTGGTAGAGTGTGTGCTCATTCAATCCCCAGTACCTCCATTTAAAAAAAAATCTTGCGAAATAATATGGCACAATCCATCATAAAATAAAGTGTGTTCTGTTCCATTAATAGACAAACTAAAATGAGAATTATTTAAAATATTATTTATTTTATTCTTCTACATTTTTATTTTTGTGTATGTTTTAGAATAATATTAATGTGGTAGCACATAAACGTAACAAGACTTGTGTGTATGTGTGTATGACCCCAACTTGCCTTGGAGTGATGACGTATGACCCTGAGTCTCCACAGCTGGATTGAACACTTTAGTCATTAATGTCAAAAAAAATCTGGAAAAATGCGAAGATATTTCTGGAGAGAGAGAATAGTTCAACAGGCTTGTGTTCCCTAAGGGCATTTGCATTGTGAAGTGTGGGATCGGAGGGACACATTCGAATTCTGACTCCGCTGCTTACCAGCCTCGCGCTCTTGGCCAGCTTCTTAGCCTCTCTGGGACGTGGCTCCCTCGTCTATAAAGTGATGACAGAGCCATCTTCACAGGTTCAGATAGTTTCAAACAAGGTAGACTTGATGAAAAAACCTGAGTTTCTACTGCACCCTTAACAGTCTAACTCCTCCCCATGGATTCCACACCCGAGAAAGATCCTTCCCTCCCTTTCTTCACACACGTGCAACCCTCCCTCCTTAGCGAGGCAATAAACCGTGCGAGAGAGTGTGGCCGGTTTTTGTTCGCCCTCGCGCCCCAGGAGCGGAGCACAGGTGCGCTGGAAGAACAGGTGAGGGGCTGTGAAACGTCTGCTGATCCTTTGCCTTTTCTAGCTCCTCCAAGACAGGATTTCAATGTTCCTGAGTCGCGGATGAGGAACCTGAAGCTAGAGGTTCAAGACTGCCGGGCTTGCTGCCTGAGCCATTTACGACCAGTGTAGGTAACCGCACAGATCCGTGGAGGGGTTTCTGGAATATTTTGTAATCTTTTGTGTTTCTCCCGTTATGTTCCAGTGCCTTCTATCCCAAAGACAAAACAGCAAAGCCAAACACAAGAGGTGGCTGTGTGGTTTTTTTGTTTATTTTTGGGTTTTTTTTTTCAGCCTAGTGATTGATCTCAATGGCTCAACCGATCTAGCTTGAGAATTTGCATAATTTTTCTCTTTTGTCAACTGTAGGTAATTCCCGTGAGGGTTATAAATATAACCACATCGCTTTGAGGCCAGCCACTGCTAGAGGCTGAGTGGAAATGCTTCTGATCATTTGCCTGCCTGTTGTTACTTGGGGGGAAGTTCTGTGTAAGAATCCAGAGAAGATCTAGAAGGCAGTATCAGACTCTACCGTTTTGGTGAGATCCTTGCAGTTTCCTGTTCAGTATTGCGTATTTCCAGATGCCCACCGCAGATCTTACATATCTGCCACCAAGGCAGGGATGGCAGACAGAGGCGCTGCTGCCATGGACTGAACGCTTATTAAGTTCAGGCACAATTTCTGTCAGCTGGTCTAACTTTCACACCATTGCTACATCCTCAGCCTTGTTTCCCCCGTTTTACAGAGGAACATCTCAGGCAGAATGAGAAACTGGTCTAGGGTAACTCAGATTCTAAGTGACAGACTCAGAATTTGAACCCCTGTCCACTTGGCTCCACCTTTTTTTTTTCTTAAGATATTGAATATAGTTCCCTATGCTATATACAGAAGAAACTTTTTGTTTATCCATTTTATATGTAGTAGTTAATATTTGCAAATCTTGAACTCCCAATTTATCCATCCCCACCCCCACCCCACCCTGGTAACCATAAGTTTGTTCTCTATGTCTGTGAGGCTGTTTCTGTTTTGTAAATAAGTTCATTTGTGTCTTTTTTTTTTAAATAAAAATTCCACACAAGTGGTATCATATGGTATTTTTCTTTCTCTTTCTGGCTTACTTCACTTACAGTGACATTCTCCAGTCCATCCATGTTGCTGCAAATGGCTTTATTTTATTCTTTTTTTTATAGCTGAGTAGTATTCCATAGTACAAATATACCACAACTTCTTTATCCAGGCATCTGTCGATGGACATTTATGTTGTTTTAAGATCTCCACCTTTAGTCACGGCTCCCCCCGCCTCCTGTGAAGATAGTGCCCAGAACTGTCGCGCTGACTGACAACACTTTCTCCTTTACAGAAGGATAACAATGACGGTCACTGGACTCGAGTGTCCTGCCTAAGGAGTGGCTCGTTTTGCTGCCTTGAATCCTGGCTTCTGAAGCTGCATCCCTCTGTACAGAATGAGCATGGTGACAACAGCAGCAGTCCCCCAGCGCGATGACAGGGAGTAAACACAATTACCCGTGATTAGTAAGCGTTTAAAAAAGTTACCTGTTTTTCTTATTAGTCAGCTTCTGACTTAAACATGGATGGAGTTCCAAAAGTTTCTTGTACATTCAGTTGTTTGAATTAGAACATATTGCCACATAAAGAATATTAGACATTGTATTTAATTACCCGTGAAGACTCTTACTGTGTCGCTGGCAGAGTATGGACTTAGATTTGCAGGAGGCGCTGCAGGATGGGGGTGGGGGCAGAGCACCGTTTGCTCTACCCCAGTGATGCTCCCCTTGGGGGATTAAGTCCAAGAGCCCTCAAGCTGCCTTAAGCCCCTTTTCTATGGGAGGTTTTCTGCTTCAGTGTTACCCTCTTCCTGCAGTAGTAATTAAATATTCAGTGCCCCTGGCAGTTGTCCAAGCCTTAAAAAACAAACAATCCTCTTCTCCCCACCAGCCTTGTCCTCTGTGTCCTGCATCCAATCTCCCATTCCCTCAGTAGCTGGCTCAGGAAAGCAGCTGCTAATTTATGATGCTATGTGAAAGTCCTAAACTTCTTAACCTTCCCAGAGTTGTTTACATTTTTTAAAAAAATGGAATCTAGAGTTTCAGGCAGTGACACAGAGAGCAATCGTGGAATCTGTAGAGTATTAACAGCGCCCTTCTTACAATGCTGTTTTGAGAATGAAGTGCTCTTCAGACCTGGGTAATTGCTCCCCTATCTGCTTTCTCACCTAACGCCTTTACCACTGAAGGGCCTTTGAGGCAGACCGGCTTTACCTGGAAGTTCCACCTGGGGTCTTCTCTCTTAATCTATCTTGTTTTCCTCCTTACCTCTTTTCTTCTTCCATTTGTTAAATCAGTTTTTCTGAGAGCCCCTGGATTAAAAAAAATAGTTGTCAGATAGATAGACTCTGGTTGAAACTGGGACCTCTGATGGGGTATGTGTTTGTTCAGTGCCAAAGTCAGGGATTGTCAATGTGTTTGCGGGACAGAAGAAGTGTCTGCAGACCAGGGGCAGAGTGTGCAGGGTTATGGACAACTGATGACTAAGGTACTCGCATTGTCCAAGCCCAAATCAGGACACACAATCTGACAAGCACAAATAAATTTATAGAGACAATGGAACCGAATAATTGAATCTGGGATGCAAGCCAAAGATATGACAGCTGAAAGAGCTGGGCAGATAACTGGAGAGAGGAGCCTTGCGGTGCAGCGGGAAGAGTTTTGACATTTCTATATCCCTGTGTCATAGACACAGACAAAGATGAATAACCCAGTGACCTGCCCTGCCCCTTCCAAACATAACAGAGAATTAGTTACGTCCTTTTTATGGTCCTGGAGCAGTGAAGGGTGCCTGCCCTCCCTGCTTAGCTCCAGACCAGCATTTCCAACTGCTCCTTGAGCATCTTTCCCTGTATGTCCTAGAACTGCCTCAAAGGGAAACTGCTGGTCCTTTTTTCATCTCAGTTCATGGCTTTACGATGCATGGAGCCATCCAAGCTAAATACAGCAGTTATTTTGTCTTTCTCTTCCTCACTTAAAAAAAAATCCACTGGTCCTTGGACCTTTTATTTCTATATTTCTACCACTGCAATGTCTTTTCTATTCCTATTGCCATCATGACCCTGTATTTGAACTACCTCATTGGTTCCCTAGTTAATTTCCTTGCATTCAATTTCATTTTCCCTTGTCCCTCCAGCCAGCCAGCCAGCCAACCAGCCAGACACACACACACACACACACACAATTTCCTCCTGAAAAATCTTTGGGTATTTATTGCCCAGAATAAACTCCAAATGTCATAGACTAGTGCTGAAGGTTTTCCCCAACTGGATTTCAAATTCTTCTTTCTAACTTCGTCTCCACCAACACAGCCTGCGTCAGCTCACACTGGTCTAGTCATTTCCTGAAATAAGCCTCTGTGCCTTTGCAAATGCGATTCTTCTTTTCCCGCTTTCCGTTCTTTCATTTTCAAATGTTCCTCCCTCTGTGGAGCTTGTCCTCGTTCTCCTGATCAGAATTAGTTATTCTCTCCTCAGCAGCCCCCACAATGTCCCCACTCTGTCCTTGCATGTTGAGAGACTGTCATGTATATATATACATATCGCCTCCTCTACCCGCCTCACAGGTGTTCATCTTTAGACCCCAGGCTCTCAGCCCCACGCCAGCATCTAGAAAGTACTTACTACTAAACGAATAAAGTCAGAGCTAAAATCCGAACCCAGGCAGTTTGGCTTCAAAGCCTGCACCTTTTACCAATATAAGCTATTTAGCTCCAAATCAAAAAACTTTAGTACCATGACAATGAAGTGTCATTGGTCACCAAGAAGAGATGGTAAGAGGGCATGAGTGATTCAGTATAGCTCATCTCCCTTAATGGAAAAGAGTCTCAAATCTCAAGTGATAGTGAGGACAGGTCTGTGTCAGCTACCCCCCTCCCAACCCCTGCCTTTTTTTTTTTAATCCCTTAGGTATAATCCAGATAGCCAGACAGAGCTGCATGATTGTGGCCACACAAATCTAAGGTTAAGAGAATTACTAATCAGGGGAAGCAGCCACTGAGAATCAGTGATGGTACTGAACACTCCACATTTCGCTGCTTGGTATTTTTATAAGCTAACTTTAAAACTCAGAAAAATCCTTCCTTACAGATAAAGAAACTGAAGCTTAGAGGGTTGTTTTGAATGTGTGTGTGTGTGTGTGTGTGTGTGTGTGTGTGTGTAAGTACTGGAGATTGAACCCAGGACCTCATGCATGCTTAGCCCATGCTCTACCACTGAGCTACAGCCACCCACCCTAGGGATGTTGAATAACTCATGAAGAAGCATATTTAAGTTTCTGAGACAGAATTTGGACACAGTGTCAAAGACTTCAAAATTTAGGCTCTTTCCATACTCTAATAAACAAGTAACATTAGTTTCATACTTTTTTTGGTTGGTATACACTAATACAATGAAAATAAATGCTGGAGAGACTGTGGAGAAAAGGAAACCCTCCTACACTGCTGGTGGGAATGCAGTTTGGTGCAGCCACTGTAGAAAACATTATGGAGCTTCCTTCAAAAACTAAAAACAGACTTACCATAGGATCCAGCAATCCCACTCCTGGGCATATATCCAGAGAAAACTCTAATTCAAAAAGATACATGCACCCCAATGTTCATAGAAGCACTTACAATAGCCAAGACCTGGAAACAACCTAAATGTCCATTGATAGATGATTGGATAAAGAAGTTGTGGTACCTATATACAGTGGAATACTACTCAGCCATTAAAAGGAATAAAATAATGCCATTTGCAGCAACATAGATGGACCTGGAGATCATCATTCTATGTGAGGTAAGCCAGAAAGAAAAAGAAAAATTCTGTGTGATATCACTTATATGTGGAACCTGAAAAAGAATACAAATGAACTTATTTACAAAACAGAAACACATTCACAGACATAGGAAAAAAAAACTTATGGTTACCAGCAGGGAGAGTGGGGGAAGTTTGGTGGGGGTGGAGGGATAAACTGGGAATTTGGAATTTGTAGATACTAACTACTGCATATAAAACAGATAAATAACAAGTTTCTACTCTATGGCACAGGGAACTATATTCAGTACCTTGTAATAACCTATAATGAAAAATAATATGAAAAGGAATATATATGTACAACCGAATCACTATGCTGTACACCGGAAATTACCACAACACTGTAAACCGACTAGACTCTAATAAAAAAAACTAATACAACTAAAAATATCTGGATTAAGAATACAGTATAAATTTTATCTTCACTGATAGCTATTTGTTATCAGTTATAATTATTGGGAACGCAGTGACCAAATGTTTTTCTGCAAACTACTCTTGCTTAGAGTTCGTCTTGAACCCTGGTAAGTAAGCAAACACAAGAAGACACAGAAACAATGTAATTGTGTACCCAGTTTTCAGATACACACTGTTGCAAACAGAGTTTCAGCTGGATGAAAAGACTCAAACTTGGCAGCCATGGCTCCTTACTCCCCACCCTACCTGTCGCTGTTCAGGTGGAAATTCTTTGAGTTTCCCTGCACATGCTGTTACAGTTACATGAGTTCCCGCTGTGATGCTTCGAAAAAGTGCTCCAGAATCAACATCAGTAAGTTGCCCTTGGGAAGGCAACACCTCCAAAACCTGTTGCTTGTGAGACTGCACAATGGCAGGAAACATTTGGACTCAGCTCTTGGCAGTACGCTCTGTCCAGATTGCTTGGCGTCCAATTACACTACTCAGCAATTTCATTCCCGTCGGCAAAAAAATTAGATTTTTATTGGATACTCCTCAGTCTCTAGAACATACAGTGCCTGCCTCATGGAAGTTCATAAGTGTTTGTTACTAGAAGTAGAAAACATTTGAGGTGGAGAGCTCAAACATTTCAAAGTGTATCTGAAATAATCAAAGGAGCAAGTTAGTCTGAAGGATCGACTGCCCAGACTCCTCCGGGCCCGGGCGTACAGTGTGCCTCAGCGTACCAGATGCTGGCTTTCAACACTTGAGCATTTTCCTGTTTTCTCAAGAGGGCCTGAAGAAGGTGTCCCAAACGAAAGGAAACTTTTAATGTATCCTCATTTGAAAAGTAGGAGCTGCACTTATTTGATTAAGAATAGTTTTTATAATACCCACCTCATGGGGCTGTTATGAAGATTAAATGTGTGATGGGGTGAAAATGCTTTGTAAACAAAGATATTATTGTAATTCAGTTCTCCATAAGAGTTGGATCGGAAAGAGTTACAAATAAAACCATGATACTGTTTGGTAGAACAGAAGACCTTATTAAAATGACATTGAAATTGGAAGGAAGAATGAGCTTGAGTGGAATCTTGAAGGATGGAGAGGATGGGAGAGGCAGAGAAGAATGTTATAGACTGAAGGGTCTGCACGAAGACCTGACAATACCAAGGGTTTGGCCTGTGGTCTGCTGTGTCCAGGTGTGTCAGGGGCGCCACATGACATGAGATTAGAACGGTGACGCAGGAGCAGACCATGGAGGACCTTGAATGCCATAATGAGGGTTTGGATCAAATTCCATGACAATAGGGAGCCACTGAAGGTTGTGGGGACAGGAGACTGACAGGATGTACAAACTTTCTGTGTTTTGCCACATCGCCTCTCCTAGCAGTGTAATGCACCCGAGATGTCTTGGACAGGCAGAGCATGGAGACAGGCTGGCCAGCGGAAAGCTCTGGAGTAGTTCAGCAAGAGTGACAGGAGGATAAATAGCAGGGCTGTAGACACAGGGGAAGTGGAGCGACTGAATGAACTGTGAGGGAGGAGGGCGAGAAGAGCTGGAGGGGGCGGCGGAGGACCAGCTTTGCACCTGGAGTAATCGCCATGCGCAGAGGCGGAAACAGCACAGCTGATCTGAGTAAGCTCAGAGCTCTAGGTGATCTCCCTACCAACCCTGTGGTTTGAGGTCTGTTATCAAACTGTCTGAAACTCTCCAGCCCATCAGCTCCAGCTTGGACCATTTTCTCTCACAATTGCCAAGACCTCTGGGAGGTCCATTGAGTGCAGTGACAGGCTTTTCCTCTTAAGGGAGAATGCCAGCTACTTTCAAAGGAACGGGCCCTACTTTTGGGGTCCTCCTTTCTCTATTTGCATCCTCATGGCAACAGAGAACACACAGATCGCTCCTTCCTGCAGTTCTGCAACGTAAGGCTCCCACTGCTGCTGGGCGGGCAGGTTTGCAAGACAGCCTTTACTTTTTGTGTTCTTTCTCCTTCTTGGCCCAGCACAACTAGTCAAATCAGGAAATCAAGACCACATTGTCCAAGTACTCACTAGCTAAATGGCATTAGATCGACAATCTCTAGAAGCCCTGATTATTTGGTTTTTAAGTTGTCTTCATGTGCGTAAAAATGCATTGTAGCCAGCATCAAAAGATGTTTATTAAAAGTTCATTTGAGAGTGGAGCTGGGTAATGCAGCAGTCAGGAGAGCAGTTATGAAACAGTCACATCACCTGCCAAGAAGAGATGCTGAATTCTCAACAGGAAGCATTCCCATTTCCTTGCCTCTGCCTGTTGGCAGGAAGGTGGGGTAAGGGGAGGGAGGGATGGGGGTGGGTCATTGTTGGGTAGAAACCCAATAAAGAGACGCCTCTTCCTGCCACAGAAAACCGATTAAGATATTCCTCTCATTACAAGGAGTCTGTAGAATTTTGCATAGTGTTCTGGAGGGAGCAAACCTTAACAATATAATTAATAGAGACTGTACTTGAAGTGCTTTGTACAGAACGGGAGGTTTGTTTCTCTGTGGGCGCTTTGCTGTTTGTCAAAACGGATGCCGTCAGGCTCTGACCTATAGGAGTTTATGATCTAAGAAGAACAATGCAGAGGAATACGCTGTAATAAACAGAAAAAAACCCAGTAAAAATTCCAACCCAGGAATTATACAGAACATTTGCTTTTATTTGCTTTTGATGATAACAAAATTGCCTTATGATTTTCATTTACTCCATTACCTTTCATTGAGTAGCTACAAAATGTCAGAAATGTCTGAGGAACTGGAGATAGAAAATTGTATCAGACACGGTTCTACTCTGGAGCTCCTGCTCCACCAAGGGCTGTGGAAGTAGGGTGATTTTGAGGCCATCAGGTCAGTGGAGATGTGGACAGGTGTGTGAGGCCCTCTGCGAGCCCAGAGCAGAGACTGATTGCTCTTCCTTGAAGTTGGGGGAAAGCTTCCGAGGGGGACAGATCTCAGCTGGGTCAGCAAGGATGAGTTATCTAAGTGACAATTCCAAGCAGGGGCTAGAGGAGTGAAAAGGCCGAGAATGAGTGAGAACATATGGTTTAATTAGGAAAATTATGAGTGAGGTCAGGCAAAAACTATTATTTGTTGTCATGTCCTTTACCGCTCACCAAATCCTACTCCCGTCAGGTGTTGGGAGCCGTGTGCTTCTGAGGACACGAGACCCGTCTCCAGCCCAGAGGTGTGGTCTTTAATAGCCTAAGTCAATCAAAGGGCATCAGTTCCCTTATCAATGACTGCTTTTGGCTTAGGCTTAGGCTAGTGTTATGAGTTGAATTGTGTCCCCCCACAAAAGACAGGTTGGAGTCCTCACCCCTGGTGCCTGCGAATGTAATCTTATTTGGAAGCAAGGCCTTTGCAGATGAATCAAGGCAAGATGAGGTCCTTAGGATGGGCCCTAATCCACTATGACAGTGGCTGGCAGCCAAGATGGCAGAGTAGAAGGAGCCAGGGCTCACCCGCTCTCACAAACACAGCAGAATCATGACTAACTGCAGAACAACCATCGATAAAAAGGTGGAACCTACTGGAAGAGAGCTCCCATGACTAAAGACATAAAGGAGGAAGCACAAGGAGATGGGTAGGAGGTGGGGTAATCAATGTAATCAAATTCCATGCCCCTGGGTGGGTGGAAGACCTAAATAGACATTTCTCTAGTGAAGACATCCAGATGGCCAATAGGCACATGAAAAGATGCTCAGTATTGCTAATTATCAGAGAAATGCAAATCAGAACTACAATAAGGTATCACCTCACACTAGTCAGAATGGCCATCATTAAAAAGCCCACAAACAACAAATGCTGGAGAGGATGTGGAGACAAGGGAACCCTCCTACACTGTTGGTGGGAATGTAATTTGGTGCAGCCATTATGGAAAACAGTATAGAGATTCCTCAAAAAAACTAAAAATAGAGTTACCATATGACCAGCAATCCCACTCCTGGGTACGTATCTGGAAGGAACTCTAATTTGAAAAGGTACATGCACCTCAATGTTCATAGCAGCATTATTTACAATAGCCAAGACATGGAAGCAACCTAAATGTCCATCAACAGATGACTGGATAAAGAAGGTATGGTGTATTTATATAATGGAATACTACTCAGCCATAAAAAGAATGTTTCCTGTTGCTCCTTCTCACGAGGCTTAAAGTCTTGGGGGCCGAGACTGTGAGTGTCCCACTTACTGTTTCATGGCCAAGCTAATCTAAGTCCTGTCTTACAGCAGACACTTGACAAACACGTACTAAGCGAATGAAAATAAAAGACGTGGCAGTGCTGACAGTCTTCAGTCTAGAGTTTATCTATAACATTCTAATGAAGGCCATGAAAAAGTGGGACCTGGCTGGGCTCTGGCAAAACACAAGGAGGCAAGTGGGCCTTTGCTCCCAGCCTTGGGGTCCTATGCTGGGATTCCTGCACACTCCTGAATTTTCCTTTTCCTCCCAACTTCCACCTCTCTTCCCAGTTCCCTTGATCAATTTCTAGGTCTAGGCCTTATTTGACCTAAATAGATTAAAAAAAAAAAAGAATGATCATGGTTTACCTAGCACGATCAACTAATTTATTACTTCTTCTGGGGAAAAAACAGTTTAAAAATGCTTTCAATACCAGTTAAACTACATGGAACTAAATCTCCAGAAACCTCCTAAAAAATGAAGGCAGGAATTTATGGTAGGGCAGAGAAGAGGGAGCAAGTGGGACTTCCACTATCTTCATAACTTGGTAGGTAAGTGCTTACCTACTTTGGTCCTGGGTTCCAGTAAGGACTTTTGGACGACCATTTCATCTTTGATACTTGAAAACATTTTCCGTAATGATCTTGGTGGGGTATTAACCCAATCGTAGGCCATTCATTCCTTAAGGCAGGCCATGCATTTGTTTTGTAGGTTTTTCTTCTATACAAGAAATTATGCAGTGTTCTGGTAGGTATAATAATTCTGATGGTAATTTTTTTTCTTTATTCATTCAAAAAGCATTTGGGTGCTTCCCACGAATGCGCCGAGTATGGTGCTAAGCATCCAGTCATCAATGGTTGGACAGAAAGGAGCCCATCCTAGTGGAGCCTATAGTCTGGCGTGGGGGACCGACTACAATGAAATATATATGGTACACATTTGCTCCAAATGTGAATGTAAGTAATAGATCTTGAGATAGGGAGTATGGTGCAGGGAAGGCACCTGGTGGGTGATCAGAGACAAATTCCTTAAGAGGTGACATGTGAGCGGAGACTTACAGGATGAGAAGGAGCCAGGCCTTGGAAATGGGGTCACGTTCATGGTAAGTCAGTTAAAAATAGCCCGCAATCTCCTCAGGGGCCAGGTTGGACGTATGGGCAACGAGAC